GTTCTCCTATTCATCGTCCTCCCAAGCCAGCAATGCCTTCTCAGGGTCCTCACTAATCCCAGTCTTCTCCAGCTGTCCCTTCAGCTTTGTCAACTCTCTCTCTAACTGTAACTCCCTTGCCAATTTTCCTCGCATTCTCTCTCCCTTGCTGTAGCACCTGTCTTCAGTATGCCCCCTCTTCCCACATCCGGTGCAGATAGGTGCCTTGGGGCAGTCACGTCTGAAATGTCCTTTCATCTTGCATGTGTCGCACACTATGTCTATGGCGCAATCCTTCCGCACGTGCCCCTTTTCGCCGCACTTCTAACACCTGCGTCTATCTTCAGACGGCCTCTCTCTTCGTTCCTCTTCCCCCTGTCTCCCTTCCACCGCTGCCCAAGCAGGCCTCCGACGTTCGCTCGGCCGATTGGAGCTTGACCCCCTCATTCCTTCGAAGAACCTCTTTCCATCCTCCACTTCTTTCGCCACCTGGTACACCTGTCGCAGCTTCGCCCGTACCCCCAAGGAGTATAGTCGGCTTCTCATGTCTCGTATCAAGTCCCCATCCAGTCCGTTGACGAACTTGGTCACTAGGATGCGTTCCTCCACGCAGCCCATATCCTCTGCCAGCTCCAGTAAACGGTTATAGTAGGCCAACAGCGATTCTGCCGGCGCTCTTATGAAGTCTTGAAACTCCGCCATCCGGTTAGCCGAATGCCCCGGGAACTGCTCCTGCAGGCTATCCAAGAAACGGTCCGTAATCTCTGCCGGTAAGATATCTCCTCTGTTGCTCCGCATCAGCAGCCCCTGCCTCTCCACGCGGTAATGAGTCAACGCCTCTCCTTTGAGAGTCCTCCCCAAGCCTCTGAAAAATCCGATAGGATCCAGTCGCTCCCTGTCCCAGCAGTAGCGAATGTCTTCAATCATCATCAGGTAGTTTTTCAGCGTGGGCTCCTCTCCAGGTGCCCCCGAGAAGCGGTCTGGTACCTCAATTTTGGGTGGTGCAATACTCATCGACCTGCCTGTCCCCCAGCTTGTGTTCCCTCGTTCTCCACTCCCTGCAGGTCGCCCTGCTCTCCCGGCCTCCGTGGCTTCGTATCCTCCGGCAAAGAATCCGTGATATGCTTCCCCGCCTCGCTGACTTTGTCGTTCCTCCGATTGATCGTCTCCTCCCCTCAAACTACGCATCTCTTCTCGTTGATCTTCTCCTCTCAGACTCCGCCGTTCTTCTCGATGATCTTCCCCTCCCTTCTGACTCCGTCGATCTTCATGTGGATCGTCTCCTCCCAGATCTGGAGTTCCTCGGCGAGATCCACTCCCCACAGGTCGCCCTCCACTCCCCTCCGCGGGCGAGTCGCATGCCGAGCTCGGCTGTTGTTCTCCGTGTACACCTCGTTCTTCCTCCCGATCCCCGCCTTGGTTACCGCGTGGGTTCATCCCTCCTTCGCCTGCCGAAATCCAGGCATCCTGACCGGCGGATCACGTCCCTCCATCATCCTCGCCGGGAATCGGTGTCCAGAGCGCAGTTGATGAGTGTGAAGCTCGCGGTCAAAATTACTCATTCCTCACGGTGCATCACCGCGAGCAACTCCAGGCAGTAGATCCTGCCACCTCTACTCTCAACAATCGTAATCCTGACCACCCTTTTTGCTTGTATGAAACAAGACTTAACTCCCTCGCAAGGGCTCCGCCGATTTGCTTCAGCTCCTCTCTACTGCTAGTTCCCCGTGGATTAGGAAATCACAATTGCAGTAAATGAGAAACATACAAGCAAAAAGCAATGAGTCCGAGCGCTACTTCCGACTACATCCTCTCCTGCCTAGGTGCCTTATCCCACAAGCTACCTCTACTCCTAAGCGCGAGTCAGCCGAGCTGATCGTGTAGGCTTCAAGGTGCTAGCTGGGTCCCACTGGGCCCACTAGGCATGCACCGCCTTCCAGCCTGTGAATGTCGAATTGAATTCCCAGGCTGGCTAGAATCGAATTCGCCCTCATCCTCCTCACCAACCCCCTCGAACTCCTCAGTAGCTCGACTCTGTATAGTACAGTAACATTCCAAAAAGAGCAAACAAAGCAAAATGCACAAAGCAGTCAACTATAGTACACCTCACCTTGGCTGCTGTGGAATTCACACTTAGTTGCCAGCTAAGTGTTAATAACACGACTCCGTCTCTCTTGTACAAAGCGATGGCAGCACTGACAGCACTGACAGCAGTGATAACAGCACTAGCATCAACAGTAACAGCAACAAAGACATACAGCAGGGCTGGCGCCGTCAGTGAGAAAGATATCATCAGCCGAGGCAGCATGGCCGTCTCTCTGCGCAATCCCCTCGGCCACGACCTGCCGGCACAGCGGCAGCCCCTGGCTGTGGCTGTACGCGCCCGTGGCAGCACACGGAATGGAGTCCAGCATCTGCTGCGCCCGCTGCCTCGCCGTGGCACTGAAAGGAGACGAGCCGTCTGGATTCTTGACGTGCAGAAGAGAAGGGTGGTCGCAGAGAGCGAGGACCTGGTGGGATTGAGGGGGGGAGGACGGGAGGAGTGAGGGCTCTTCACCAGATTCTGTATTTGAGACCCTCTCCTCTTACGTGGCTGAGGAAAGGCCTGCCAGGAGGCCGTGGCATGGCATAGCATGGTGTGTACCTTATCCAAGGCCGAGACTCACCTCTCTGTAAAAGGTGATGGGTGGCTGCCCGAGAGCCTGGGGGTTGCCGATGTTGCAATAGATGATCTGATGGGGCGAGGGGGGTGGCAGAAAAGAAGGCTCAAGAAATGCGATTCTAGGTGGAGTGGAGGTCTCTACGACTGCAGTGCACGCGAAGGGAACTGTCTGGTAAAATGCCTCGGATTGACATCAGGGACAATGCATCCCACCTCATTAAAGGGCAATGTGCCCGGCTTTGCTGCCAGCTGAGACTCGAGCATGAGCGCTCTTGCGACTATCTCGCCCCGCACTGCGTACTCACACTCGCGCACCTGGTGCGGGAGACAGGTAGGCGGGGAAAGGAGAGGCGATGGAAGGAGATGTCATGTAAGGAGGGACGAGGGTAGGTGAAAATGCAACCAATCAAACAGGAAGAAATAAAGGGCATGACGAGTACGGGAAAATAGGAGTTGTGATACCAGCGAATTGATTGTATCTAGGGTAAGCGGCGGAGCACGAGGAGACAGCAGGCTCGCCAGGCTGCTGCTGCTGTAACCCCGCCTTCCTCCGATGTCGTCGCGCGGCCTCGCCAAGTCAGAGCGGGGCTTGGCCACGTCAGCAGCGTCGCTCCTGCCGCGGATTTCATCGGCATCTCGAACGGCGGAACTCCCAAGCGCGGGACTCCAAGCTCGTCGGAATCCCGCCGCCAGTCCCGCGCGCACGACCCGCTCCGCTCGTGACGACTGGAGGAGCAGCCGCATGATTGCAAAATGCGAGTATTCAAGCCTCACTTCTTCCCCGCGACTCGCAAATGCCTCCTAGTTTGGTTGAAGAACAAAACAAAACAAAAATCTTCGCGGCTCGAGCTTCCAAGCTAACGACTCGCCGGTTTCCGGTGAGAAATTATTACGACCGGAAGCCTCGCCTCGTACCGCGGTAAGTCTTCTAAACCGCAGCGACCGGGAAAGAAAAGGCTGGCCAGTTATCCTGGCTGAACTGGTGCTTCAACTCGTGCCTGAACTGGTTGCATCCGAGCCGTGAAATGTTGCATCAGCCTTGAGATTAGATGGAATGGCCTGGAGTGACGTGCTGCTGACAACGCATTCACGCCATTACTTGCGTGGCGACTGACAGATGCTGCTCACAAGGCAGTTGACTTGATAGGCGAATCCAATGCAGTTGCATGCCAAAATCCCTGAGCCAGAAAGACAAAAGGGGGATTTGGCGGTGGCCATCTTGGAGGCAGGATAAGTATTCCAGAAAAACAAAAATGAAAACCGAGGGTGAGGAGTGAAGTATCCATTAACGCGGATGTACTAACGAACCTGTGCTGTTCACTGAGTTCAAAAGCGATTCATTTTAGCATACAAAACGTTGAGTGCGGTACTGAGCGAAAGTGAAAATCGGTGATTTCTCGCGTGAAAACGACCGACATTATTCAGAGCTCCATTGCTTCATTTCAGCACGCTAGCTTGAAGCATGTCCGTGGCTTCCTCTTTCACCTATCTGTCTGGTCCAAACCAAATCATTGTCACGTCTTATATGCCTTTCATGTCCTTATGGCGTGCGGTCTGTATTGGATCAGATTAGCTTGACTGTGCTTCCGTCGTAAACTCGTGAGTAGTGTTCAGGCAAAATAACTTTCATTGGTTCGCTTCCAACACACCCATACGTATCGTGTGTCAAACTTCTGGCATTCGCGAAAACGAACCGTGTTAGCAAGCGAAAATGCTGAATCAACCGACTCATAGACGGCAGCCAGCACCATGATCAGCCTCCAACATTGCATTAATTAACCCATTGTCGACTCTTCGGACGCATCAGCCGTCAATGCTGGGTAGAGCGTCATAATAAAGAGAGCCGATAATCCAAAGCGGTTCGGCGAAGTCCGTCGATCAGAGATTAACGATCGACGATCAGCATCAAGCGATCAGCAGCGATCCGCGATTAGCATCAGGAGCATTAGTAAGCGGGCGAGACAGGATGTGCATCGGATTCTGCACCGGCTGCTGCGGTGCTTTCGCCGGTACCGCCTTGGGTCACTGCCTCTGCTCCTGCTGCTCCTTCGGCCCGTCGCGCGTCGCGGCGAAGTTCTTATATGGAGGGATGTTCCTGGCCTCCGTTGTTGTCGCGTGGGTTCTTAGAGACTACGCCACCGATGAACTCTACAATCTCTACAGTGAGTGCGATCCGCACACTACATTCGGAGCTAATCATAGTGATTCAGTTATTGGAATGCTGTGGTGGTAACAACGTTTGCATTGCGGAGAAAAGCCGCATTTCATTCGTCGTTCCTTCTATTCCCGTCACTGTTTGTAGCGTTCCCTTTATCCTCCCACCTTCCTTTCCTCCTGTTTTCCCACCCATTCTTCTCACATGAAGCACAAATCCACTTCGCCTGGTCATCTCCTCCCCCCCTTCCCCTCTTTTCCTTCTTTCCACCCTCTTTCGTCCCGTACTCCCTTCCCACCAGGCTTCCAGTCGTGCGGGCCGAACAACCCTGGGTGTGTGGGCGCGCTAGCAGTGCTGCGACTGAGCTTCGGCCTGTGCCTCTTCTTCGCGCTCATGCTCGCCACCACAGCCGGTGCCAAGCTCGAGGACAGCTGTCGTGACCTCTGGCACTCCGGCTGGTGGCCTCCCAAGCTCATCCTCTGGCTGCTGCTGCTCTTCCTCCCCTTCCTCCTCCCCTACCGTATGTACGCTCTTTTCTCCTCCATACCGTATGTCTGTTGTGTGCTTCCTCCTGCTTCTGCGCGTGTCCGGCTCCTGTGTTCTTCTTGCCTCAGTCCCGTTATGGACTGGATCCGTTTGTTCATGTTCACTGCTTCATCCCTCACTTCGGTCCTTCTGTGGTTTTCACCTGAACAGAGGTGTTTCAGGTGTATGGCGAGGTGGCGATAGCGGGAGCAGCAGTATTTCTGGTAATTCAGCTAGTGAGCATCATCAATTTCATCTACGTCTGGAATGACTCTTGGCTCAACAACGATAAGATGTGAGAACTTGCGCTTAGTTTTCGGCCGTTCCAAACGCTTCGATTCTGGTGAATGTTCACCCATCATTTGTCTTGTAGACGCACAGATATGCACGGACTACTTTGTGTGTTCATACATGTGTAAAAGTATCACCCACTTACGCATGCATGTGTGTCATGGCATGTGTGCCTTCTCCACCCACCCCTACTTGCATGTCATGTGTGCAGGCACAAATGGATGGCTGTGGTATCAATCGTGTGCTACCTGCTCTTCCTCACGGGCATCATCCTCATGTATATCTACTTCGCGCCCTCCTCCTCCTGCTCGCTCAACATCTTCTTCATCACCTTCCTCCTCGTCCTCGTCGTCGCTCTCACCGCAATCTCCGTCCATCCCAAGGTGAGCCGCCCATCCCACATCCGAGGCTCACCTTCTCATCATCTTTCCCGCGGTTCTCAACACCATTTCTGTTTATCCCTGGGTGTGGTTGCCTGGTGCTTCATGGGCCGATGCTGCATTGGTAAGTCAATTACATGATGCAAAATGAAGTGATTTTCAAAACAGTCGTTATGCTGCATTGATAGGTCAATTACGTGATGCTAAATGACAGTAAACAGTGCCAAGCCATCCAGTACCCTCCTATACTTCTTGCATGCATCTGCATCTGTATGTGTGTGCGTGCAGGTGGACGCAGGGCCTCTCACCACAGGTGTCATGGCGGTGTATTTTGTCTTCCTCTGCTGGTCGGCAATCATGAGTGAGCCGCCCGCTGAGGCATGCAACACTCGCCCTCGCCAGACCGGATACGGCGGGTGGCTTGATATTCTGGTGAGAACATCCCAAGTTGCTATTTTTCCACTTCGCACACTTATTACTCATACTTGAATTCATTATTTTCCAGCATTCGCCAATCATTTTTTGTAACTGACAAACTGCTACTTATTCTTCATTCTTCTTTCCATTCTGCCTGTGCACTCAGGCATTCATAGAGGCACCCATGAACATGTTGTACTTATTCTCCTTCTTTTCCCCCTCCCCCCCGTCTTCACAACACCCAGGCATTTATAGTGGCACTCATAAGCATTGCCATTTCAGTCTATGCCACAGGAATTGACTCCCGATGCTTCTCGCTCCGGCCTAAAGACGAGGAATCCGCCGGTAACGGAGAGGTGCCCTATGGTTACGGCTTCTTCCATCTCGTGTTTCTTACAGGCTCAATGTATATGGCTATGATATTCCTGGGGTGGAATATGAATCAAACCCCGGTTGAGTGGAGCATCGATGCTGGTTGGATTAGCACCTGGGTCAAGATGGCTTTGCTGTGGTTATCTGCGTTGGTTTATCTGTGGACGCTCATTGCTCCCTTTGTGTTAAGGGGTAGAGAGTTTAGATGATTGCTTGCCAGCCACTCTTCCATTCAAGTCAGGGCAAACATACCTGAAGCAGAATGCCATTCAGTCAGCCTAAGATCATGTGAGCTAGGATGAGAACATGTACACATCAGGTGCATTTATGCACTCATGAGGACAGTGCCCCTATACACATCCGGTCTTGTTTAGTTGAAACCGTATCTGCCGGTACCTGTAGTACGGTGTATATCTACTGCTAGGATGTCATTTCATGAATGTGATTGAGCCATCCAGGTTCAGTGCAGTGCTGTCCAGAAGATAATTACTTTAATGTCAATGACTACCATATTGTATCATGGCAGCAAGTTTATTGCATTACATGCATCCTACAGTTATTGTAACTTCAGCAAATTGTAGCAGTTAATATCTAATTATTGCATCACAATTGATACGAATGTTGGGTGCTGCTGCTCCACTATCCACACGCTATGAGGCGCTGCTCCACTGTCCACCGCTCTGAATGTTGGACCCCTCTTGGCCGCAGGGGGCAGAGCCCCTGCGTTGAGGTGGGGGCTATCGCTTAGGACACCTGTTGGGGGGAGGGGATGGGGGGCGGGAGGGGGGGGAGAGAGGGGAGAGAGAGAGGGAGAAAGAAGGTACGCCACACCACACCACACCAGGCACGCCTCACACCAGACACGCCTCACACCAGACACGCCTCACACCAGACACGCCTCACACCAGATACGCCTCACTCCACTCCACACCACTCCACACCACACCACACCACACCACTCCACACCACACTGTCACACCACACCAGGCACACCACACCAAGCCACACCACACCACTCCACACCACACCACGCCATGCCACACCATGCCACCCCACCCCACCCCACCCACACCATACCATTCCACACCGGACTCCACCTTTCATTCTCTGTTCCAGTGCTGCTCTGCTCCTCTGCAGGCTCCTCTGCTGTCCTCTGCTGTCCTCTGCTGTCCTCTGCTGTCCTCTGCTGTCCTCTTCTGTCCTCTGCCGTCCTCTGCTGTCCTCTGCTCCACTTCTCCTCTGAAAAGACCAGAACAAGACAAACAGAACGAGGGAAACAGAATCAGAGCAAACAGAATCAAGAAGGAAAGGAAGAAAGAAAGAAGAGAAAAAAAAAGCGTAAAAGCAGACAAGAAGGAAACTAGGCAACTTGAGCTCACGGAAAGTGAGAAATGGTGAGACAAGAGGCTTACCAGGAAAGTGAAGAGGAGAATGCTACTGTCCCTCTGCTCCTCCTCGCCTCTGCTGCATTTTCTGAATACAGGAGACAGTGTTAAGGCATACAGATGGAGGAAACAGAGAAGACAGACAGATTAAGGACAAGAGGAACTGAGCTCACGGAAAGTGAAAAATAGTAACTAATACAGAGTCAATGCAAACAGAATCAAGTCGAGAAAAGAGGCGTGGACTGCTCATGTTCCTCCGCTCCTAGACTCCTCCTCGCCTCTGCTGCATCTCCTCCTGTGTAACGGGAAGAGGCAGAGTCACAAAAATGCACCATGGCTGAACAGAACCAACATATACATGGCTGAACAGAACCAACGCATACAGAAGCAATGCAAAAAAAAGGCTAGAAAAGAGGCGTACCAGAGAAGAGCAGAAGCGGCTGCTCCTGTTCCTCCTCTCCTCTTCCCCTCCTCTCCTCCGCCCCTCCTCGCCTCCGCTGCATCTCCTCTGTGAAACGGGAAGACACAGAGTCACAAAAACTCAGCCTAGGAATGCACTAGCGGACCTACTGCCAAGATATCACCCATGGCTGAAAATATTAAATGCATACAAAAACAATGCAACAAAATCAAGGCGAGAAAGAGGCTTACAAGTGAAGAGCAGAAGCGTCTGCTCCTGTTCCTCCTCTCCTCTTCCCCTCCTCTCCTCTGCCCCTCCTCGCCTCCGCTGCATCTCCTCTGTGAAACGGGAAGACACAGAGTCACAGAAACTCAGCCTAGGAATGCACTAGCGGACCTACTGCCAAGATATCACCCATGGCTGAAAAGATTCAATGCACACAAAAACAATGCAACAAAATCAAGGCGAGAAATGAGGCTTACAAGAGAAGAGCAGAAGCGGCTGCTCCTGTTCCTCCTCCCCTCTTCCCCTCCTCTCCTCTGCCCCTCCTCGCATCTGCTGCATCTCCTCTGTGAAACGGGAAGACACAGAGTCACAAAAAACTCAGTCTAGAAATGCACAAGCGGACCTACTGCCAAGATATCACACATGGCTGAAAAGATTCAATGCATACAAAAACAATGCAACAAAAACTCAAGGCGAGAAAAGAGGCCTACAAGAGAAAAGCAGAAGCGGCTGCCCCTGTTCCTCCTTCCCTCTTCCCCTCCTCTCCTCTGCCCCTCCTCGCCTCCGCTGCATTTCCTCTGTGAAACGGGAAGACACAGAGTCACAAAAAACTCAGTCTAGAAATGCACTAGTGGACCTACTGCCAAGATATCACACATGGCTGAAAAGATTCAATGCATACAAAAACAATGCAACAAAAACTCAAGGCGAGAAAAGAGGCCTACAAGAGAAAAGCAGAAGCGGCTGCCCCTGTTCCTCCTCCCCTCTTCCCCTCCTCTCCTCTGCCCCTCCTCGCCTCCGCTGCATTTCCTCTGTGAAACGGGAAGACACAGAGTCACAAAAACTCAGCCTAGAAATGCACTAGCGGACCTACTGCCAAGATATCACACATGGCTGAAAAGATTCAATGCATACAAAAACAATGCAACAAAAATCAAGGCAAGAAATGAGGCTTACAAGAGAAGACCAGAAGCGGCTGCTCCTGTTCCTCCTCCCCTCTTCCCCTCCTCTCCTCTCCCCCTCCTCGCCTCCGCTGCATCTCCTCTGTGAAACGGGAAGACACAGAGTCACAAAAACTCAGCCAAGAAATGCACTAGCGGACCTACTGCCAAGATATCACACATGCCTGAAAAGATTCAATGCATACAAAAACAATGCAACAAAAATCAAGGCGAGAAATGAGGCTTACAAGAGAAGAGCAGAGCCGGCTGCTCCTGTTCCTCCCCCCCTCTTCCCCTCCTCTCCTCTGCCCCTCCTCGCCTCAGCTGTATCTCCTCTGTGAAACGGGAAGACACAGAGTCACAAAAACTCAGTCTAGGAATGCAGTAGTGGACCTACTGCCAAGACATCACACATGGCTGAAAAGATTCAATGCATACAAAAACAATGCAACAAAATCAAGGCGAGAAAAGAGGCTTACAAGAGAAGAGCAAAAGCGTCTGCTCCTGTTCCTCCTCTGCTGCTCCGCTCCGCTCCTGCCACTCCTCCCTGGCTAAACAAAACCAGAAACACAAGACGACATTAGCACGTGAAAAACTGGAAAAAGAAACAAAGAACAAAGATGCAAGAAACTGGAAACGCAGAGACTTACATGTCGGTGACGGTGTTGACCCTCCAAGCTGCTGCTCCCCCGCCGACCTGCCAAAGCAGAGACTTACATGTCGGTGACGGTGTTGACTCCCCTTCATCCTGCTACTCCCCTCTCCGCCCTACCAAAGAAGAGACTTACATGTCAGTGACGGTGTTGACTGCCCTCCAAGCTGCCGCTCCCCCCTCCTCGCTGCCACACCACACCACACCACACCACACCACTCCACACCAGTCCACACCAAAGCAGCGATGAGCGGGGCAGGTCAGGTTGGGCGTCAAAGCTGGAAGAGGAGGTGCAGGGAGGGCGGTGCTGAAGAAAGAAGACGAGGAGCAGCGATGAGCGGGGCCAGCCGTGAGGAGGACTTACGAGAGACAGTGGCACCACCCTCTCCGCCTCAACACGTCCCACCGCTACTCTCCGTTCCACTTTCCACTGTATCCCCCTCCATGCATCCACTCGTCCAACCCATCAACCACTCCCTCACGTTCCTCCGCCTCACCCCGTGCCGGACGTGCCGCGTCCTCGCCTGAAGTGCTGCCTCCTCGTCTCAAGTGCCGCCAACTTGCCTCTTCGTCCCCTCACCTGAAGTGCCGCCTGGTTGCCTCCTCCTCCTTTCCCCAAGTGTCCTCCCTGCCTTGAGCCCCAAGTGTCCTCCATGCTTACCTCCTTGCCCCAAGTGTCCTCCTTGCCTTGAGCGGGTGGCCAGCAGGGCGAGTAGGAGGCAGCCACACGCCAGTGGCTGCCGGCCGTGCGTCATCCCACCACGCTCGCCCGTCCTCCTCGCTCCACCACACAACACAAAACCAGACCACACCAGACCACACCATACGACACAGCACTACACCTGCTCCTCTGCATCTTCCATCTTGAGTGAAGTGCTGCCTCTCCTTGCCTCCTGACCTGAGTGAAGAAGCCATCTGCCAACACTGCCCTGCCAACACTGCCCTGCCAACACTGCCCTGCCAACACTGCCCTCACCAATCGCCCGTCCTCCTCGCTCCACTACACCACACAAAACCAGACCACACCATACCACACAGCACTACACCTGCTCCTCTGCAGGCACCTCCGTTCTTGAGTGAAGAAGCCATGTTGAGTGAAGAAGCCATCTTGAGTGAAGTGCTGCCTCTCCTTGCCTCCTCACCTCAAGTGCCACAGCACACTACACACCTCTGCTGAAGTGCCGTCTCCTTGCCTCCGCGCTGACTCGTTGCCCGAAGTGTCCGCCTCCTCCTCATGCCACACCACACCATTCCACACCGCACTACACCTCTGCTGAAGTGCCGCCTCCTTGCCTCCGCGCCGGCTCGTTGCCCGAAGTTTCCGCCTCCTCCTCATGCCGCACCATACCATTCCACACCGCACTACACCTCTGCTGAGGTGCCACCGCCTTGCCCGAAGAGCCCGCCTCGAGCAGAGCGGGTGGTCAGCAGGGCGGGTGGGAGGCAGCCGTGTGGCTGCCGGCTGTGCGTCATCCCACCCCTCGCTTCTCCCTCTCATTGCTGCCGTCCTCCCGAGTCGCTGCTGCTGTCCTCTGCTCCTCCCGAGTGAAGAACCCATGGTTGCTGTAAAACAGGGCGAGGGAACACATAGACAGATGCACCAAGT